AAAAAAAAAAAGTAGAAATGAGGTCTTGCTCTTGCTCAGGCTGGTCTCAAACCTGTGAACTCAGGCAATGCACCCATCTCAACCTCCCACAGTGCTAGGATTATAGCATGAGCCATTTTTTTTTTTTGATCAACATAATTTAAGTGTGCTACAGAAGTTTAACTACAGGTTCAAGTGTGCCATGAGATAAAAAAAAAAAAAGGTTGAAAAACACTGCTGTAGACACACCAGCCACCTGTCTGGCCTTGGTGTCACTGGGCAGTTACTGACTGTAAGTCTATGGTCTGTCCTCTCTTCACCCAGCTGGCCATTCCCTGGACTGCTGGGAGGGTGCAGTGACAAGAGGAGGGGGACTGACACTGGCACACCCCAACACTGCTCAGTACCCCAACAGTGTGCAGTGCCCTATACACTCCCATGCCTATCTGCTGTGCTGACCCCTGCTCTTTCCTACTCTTCAGACCTTACTATCTATTCCCTTTCTCCAGAAAATCTCCAGCCCAGGTCAGGATGGGGTGCCCTTTCTGCACACCATCTCCCCAGTACAGTGTGTAGTGAACGCAGCATCTGTCCATTAGCAGGAAGGTTTGCCAGCCATGCTGGGCAGCTGTGATGACCCCTCAGGGGGTACACTGAGGCACCAGGGACAAGGGGCACCCATAGTGCCCAGAGGCCAGAGAATACACAGGGAGAGGAGCCATGCAGTAGGGGCTCCGAGACACAAGGCCCAGCACTGACCTGAGCCTGGGCAAGATGAAGGCAACAGCAACAGATGCTGTAGCCAGAGGCACAAAGGACAACTCTGGACATGGGCAACTCCTACCCACTTTATGAGTGAGGTGTGACCCTTAGCAGCAGCATCCCCATCTCGCTCTAGGTCAGACCAGTGACAGGCGCAGGAAATGAACAGGTGACCCACTTCACAAAGCGAAGGACTGTCATTAATCCCAAATCTCAACCCAGACTGATAACTGTCAGAGGAAGGGAGGGCCCTGGCTTCCTGGGCTAGAGCCTGGGCCTGGGCTGGCCCATGTGCTGGTCCCACAGACCCGTGAGGCGGTCAGCCTCCCTCCAGCCAGACAGCAGAGCCCCGTGGGTTGTGGAGTAAAATGACCGATGTGTGGCTTCCCCAGCAAACAGAATCTGCAGCTGCAAAGAAGAAGCACAGTTAGGAGAGGGATTAGCCTTAGACCCCAGAGTCTGGGCAGAGAAGCACATATTCACTCACACACTGACTCACACACACAAACTTAAAAACGGGCAGGAACAAAGCTGCTGCACCCTGAGAGCTGGGCTTGTGAACACTGGCAGCAACCTCACTAGCCATTGAGCCCAGTTGGGGAGGGCAGAGGAACAGTGCAGTAGTGTGAGCAGCCAGTCCACAAAGCCTGAACCCCAAGTTCAAAAAGGAATATTTCCCAACAGGCAGACTAAAGAGACCACAGACACAGGAGCCTTGATACTTGTGGGTAGTGGGTAATACTAATTACATTCTCTCTATTTAAGTAGGAGAATAAATTATAGTTTCTTCTTTTTTTTTTTTTTGAGACAGAGTCACCCTCAGTAGAGTGGTGTGGTGTCACAGCTCACAGCAACCTCCAACCCTTGGGCTTAAGCAGTTCTCTTGCCTCAGCCTCCCCGGTAGCTGGGACTACAGGTGCCCACCACACCTGGCTATTTTGTTGTCGTTGTTTTTGAGTTATATATTTTTAAAAGGGTGTCCTTATCTTTTAAAGATACATACCATAATACCTGCAGTGAAATGATATCACTCAGTGATGATGAGAACACAGTGGGAACCTGGCTGGGACCTCTCTGGGGTCTGTGGTGGTGCCCAAGGCTCTACCAACACTGTATACATTTGTCATTTTACATAATAAAATGTTTTTAAAACTGAAAGTATAAATGTGTCTTTAGACACATAGTAAACTCAGAGATCATAATCAGCAGGGCCCAGAGTCCAGGAAGGGGAGAATAGCTGCCTGTTTCATTGCATCATCTAAGCCAGCACTGTGGTACTCTGACACTTTAAGCTACGTGTATGTGTAATGTTGACAAAAATAATGCATTTAACAATTCTTAGTTTCAAAAAGAAAATAGCTTCTAGTCTGGGGCCCCAGCCTTCCTGTCACTCGCCCAGGCCCCTACAACAGGTGCAGCTCCCACCCAGCATGATGCCATAAATACCTGGGTGTGGGTACTATCCGCAGGCAGGGGCTGAGCCAGCAAGTCCAGGTCATCCCCAGTGCTGCCCACAGCCACATAGCTGTAAGAGCCCCTGGTGTATGGAGCACTGTGCCAGCGAGACCTCAGCATGCTCTTGGGTGCAGGGAGCCTCGGGTTTCCTGAGCCACAGAGACGCAGCACATCAGCCAGAACTCCCACCCACAGGTCTGCAACCATCTCTCATTTCAAAGGGGAGCAGTTTAAAATGAAAGATGCTGCCAGAACTCAAAAAAGCACCAACACCCACACTGGTGGCCTGTTCTCTACTACCCACCAGTACTTCCTCTAAGCCTCAGCTTCTTCCTCTGTAAAATCTGGTTAAGGACAACTGCATTTATTTTGGTGGCAGATTTTACAAAAAAGAAGTAGAAAGTGTTTGCAAAGTCATTTTAGCTCAGAGAACTGTTACAAAATCCAGTATTATGAGGAAGGATCATCCCTAGAGACATACAGAGCCCAACTTAGCTCTGTCCTGAAAAGTTTAGTTCTCATTCAGAGATCAGCCAACAAGGAGAGAGAGCAGTAGCTCTCCACATGCTGAGTACCTGTCGCTTTCTGGAGCACCTGGGTTAGAGAAAGAAGCACTTCTTCATCTGACAGAGTCTCCATAAACTCCGACTCCAGCCCAGCAATGAACGCACAGAGAACATGGACAGACCTGGTAGAGAGAAAGACCGTTGAGACAAGCTCCATCCACCCAGTTCTCTGCCTGGCTCTCACAGGGACCCAGCAGCTATGCTGAAAGCCCCAACAACACATGCATAGGGCAGCCCCAGGGGCAGTTCTCAGAGTGGGGGGTGGCAGACTGGGGTGTCCCAAAACCTGTCAGGAACTCTGGAGGTCAGAACCATTTTCCTAACACTCAGACAGCATTTGCTTTCTCCACTAAGTTGATATTTTCACCCATGAAAGAGCAAAGGAAGGTAAACTATCCCTTGACAGAATGTAGTGAGATAAACCACACTAGCCACAGACACGAATTCCACCCAAGTATGTCCTTGAAGAAGCAGTAAAAGTTACTAATTTTCTTAAATGCTGGCCCTTGAGTACGTGTGCTTTTAATAATCTGTGTGAAGCAATGGAAGAAGGTATAGAGCCTGTCTGCCACACGTGGTATGTGACCACCACATAGGACACACCATGGGGGGTACGAGTGTCCGGCAGGGCCAGCTAATTCTCTCACAAACAAATACAGAAGATACGAGCTGAGGTATGTGGCAAGCATTTTCTCAAAAATGAGTGAAGTGTATCTGTCATAGGATAACAACTAATAGTATTTAATAAGTGATAAAATTTAAGCTCTCAAGCAAAAATGATAATTTTAGAAAACTTGTACCTGCCATTAGCAGATTAAAAGCTTCCCAACACTGAGAGATATTTCCAAGATCACTGATAACACAGTGAAATGTGGAAGACTATATGAACCAGTATTTTCTGAATGACCAAAATCATCAAAGTGGCTGGGCACACTGGCAGCATCCATAGCTCAATGGTTAGGGCGCTAAGGCTGGTGGGTTTAAATCCAGCCCAGGCCAGCTAAAACAACAATGACAACTATAACAAAAATAATAAATAACAACAACCAAAAAAAAAAGCCAGGGGGCGGTGCTTGTGGCTCAAAGGAGTAGGGCACTGGCCCCATATGCCAGAGGTGGCAGGCGCCTATAGTCCCAGCTACTTAGAAGGCTGAGGCAAAAGAATCTCTTAAGCCCAAAAGTTTGAGATTGCTGTGAGCTGTGATGTCACAGCACTCTACCCAGGGCAACATCTTAAGACTCTGTCTCAAAAAAAAAAAGTAACTGGGCACAGTGGCTCACACCTATAATCCTAGCACTCTAGTAGACTGGGGCAGGAGGATCCCTTGTACTCAGTTCAAGACCAGCCTGAGCAAGAGCAAGACCCTATCTCTATTAAAAAGTAAAAAATTAGATGGGCATTGCGGCTGGCACCTGCAGTCCCAACTACTCAGGAAACTTAAATTTAGGAGTTGGAGGTTGTTGTGCGCTAAGCTGATGCCACTGCACTCTAGCCTGGGTGACAAGAGAAAAAAGATCCATTCAAAATGCAAAACAACCCTCTGGGAAGCCAAGGTGGGTGGACTGCCTGAGCTCACCAGTTCAAGACCAGCCTGAGCAAAAGGAAGACCCCGTTTCTACTAAACATAGAAAGAACTGAGGCTTGAGGATCGCTTAAGCCCAAGAGTTGGAGGTTGCTGTGAGCTATGATGCCACGGCATTCTTGCCAGGGCAACAGCTTGAAACTCTGTCTCAAAAAAAAAAAATGCAAGACAGGCTCAGCACCTGTAGCTCAGCAGCTATGGCACCAGCCACATACACCAGAGCTGGCAGGTTCGAACCCAGCTCAGGCCTGCCAAACAACAGTGACAACTACAATAACAACAACAAAAATAGCCAGGCATTGTGGTGGGTGCCTGTAGTCCCAGCTACTTGAAGAAGCTGAGGTAAAAGAATCACTTAAGCTCAAGATTTTGAGGTTGCCATGAGCTCTGACACCACAGCGCTCTACCAAGGACGACATAGTGAGAGACTGTCTCAAAAAAAAAAAAAAAAAAAAAAAAAAGCAAGACAGACAAATGAATTTCAGTGCAACAGAGCACAAAAAAATTCACCTCTATGCTCTCAGATTCCACCCCAGCCAGCCTTTAGGAAACAACCAGTTCTTGAGTTTTGGTGTAGTACCAAAGAGTATGGATAATCAGCTAAAAAACTATTTAAATATTACTCCCTCTTCCAACTACATATCTGTGCAGATACAGACTATCTTCATACATTTCAACTGAAATAAAAGAACCAGTGCAGAGGCAGCCCTGAGGACCCAGACATCTTCTAAAGAGATCTGCAGGAAGGACAAAACTCTGCTGCCCCCTCATTAAATTTAGAGAAAATATAATTTTCATTTTAAAAACGTTATTTGTTCCACCATGGAGTGAGTTTACTATCATCTCAAATAATAAGTAATTTCTCACTTTTAATTTCTTGCATGGTAAATGCACATAACCCATATAGACAAAGCCTGAGACCCTTGATCACCTTTAGGCACATAAAAGGGATGTCAGACAACCAAGTCTTAAAGTCCCTGCCCTGACACAGACAGCATCCCACCCAGGTGCTCCAGGGCGCAAAAGGGCTGTTGTCCCCCCACATCCTAGTAACAGATCATAGGCTAGGTGCAGGTGGCCAAGCACAAACAACGAAATATTTCCTCTTCAGTGCAGATGACACAGGTGGCTTCCCTCCCTCCCAGGCTGGACACTGCTCTGAAGCCACAGCCTCTTGCTCTCAAGGGAAGCAGAAAGGAGCCATCTCAGGTGTGTCCTGTGCTCAGCCTGTCCTGAGTCTTTCAGGCTGAGAGCTTGGTCCCCGCTCTCACTGTGGCTGAGTGGAAATGTAGAATTATATCTGCCATCTGGCCACAGTGTGTTAACTTGTGTTTTAATGCTGCTGAAAAAAATTAGTCCTTCCACCCTACGTTACACCCATAGTATTATTTTCTGTGTCAGCACCTATGTCCACATGTGCTACTTTACAGGTGAGGTAGGGTCACAGAAGTTAGCCCTTTAGGTCTGAGTCTGCGATTCCACTGCTTAGAGGAAGGCTTTGTTCAGTTATTTCCTCCTATATAAGAACTGTCTCCCCATGTTTCAGATTTCTTCTGGATCTCTGAGTCTCAGCTTCCTATAGAACTCTAGGAGACACATTCTCACGGACTGAAGACTGAGTGTGCCCACCTGTGCACAGATATACTCTGAGCACTAACTGTGTACAGCCAGAGCCTTGGGGGGCTGGTGGGGTCCCTAGCCGTATACCCTCCAGGGCCAGCCCAAGGTGCCCTCAGGGCCACTCGGGGAGTGCACATACTCAGAGGAAGGCAGGACCAGAAAGCCAATGAGCTTCTTGAACCAGGCATTCTTCAGTGGGGGGGCAATTTCCTCCAGGGGTGATGTGTCCTCCCACACCACCTGGATCATCTCACAGCCTGGCTCCCAGAAGGGCTCCTCAAACTCCAGAAAGATTTTATTGTTGGTCCCAAAGCCTAGTTTCCTGATCGCTTCTGACTTCTCGGTGGGCAGGGGTGGGTCAAAGAAGGTGTCCAGATGCTCCTTAAGGAAACCTGGAATTCACAATTGGACTCAGCTCACACCACAGAAAGCTCTTTAGCAACAATCGCCCACCAACAGGGGCCCACCCTGATCCCACTCAGAGGAGTCAAAGAGAGGTTTCTGAGCACACCATCTCCAGGGATGCAGAGTCAAGCGTGGCTCTGGCTGTCAGGGCTCAGTCTGGGGAAATAAAAACTGAACTGGAGGGACAAAAAAGGTCCAGTGTCCCCACTAGTCACCACCCTACACAGACTGCCCTGCAGTGACAGCTTTTCCTGAGCCCCTGACCCTCAGCCCCTGCAAACCACACTGCTCGGGAATCTATTTAGAGTTGCAGTTAAATATACAGGCTTTATCCAGAACCTACATAAAAATTAATATGCAAGGCAAAAAAAAAGATTTAGCCAAAGGCAGACAAGATGAAAAACAACACAGTCACACCATGGGATAAAGGGTTTGCAGCATGTGAAGTAACAAGCTGATCTCTGAAATACGTGCAAAACAGTAAGAAAAAGAGGAGTCCCAAGAGCACACCAGGCAAGGTTGTCAACAGGCAGTGAAGCCAGGACACCTACACCCCAGCACACAGTGGCCATGGCAGCCACTGTTCAGATTGCAGATCCACCACTTCCCATACTGATGGGGTACCTTGCAGTTGTGTTCACACAAGTTTTTTTTT